TTCGAAACTAAATCATCTGCGATCGTCTTGTCAGTCTCGCCTCACCTCACTCTTCTTGTCAGTCGGCTCGACTCACTCTCCTCACTGGAGAAATGAAACCTGATCTGTGATGCGACTGTTGTTCGGCACGCTGCATTGAGCATCCGCGTTCAGTTTTTAATTGTAGTGTCTGTTCTTTTACTGAAATAAATGATTTTTATTACTATAAAAAATCAAAACGATGGTGGGGGTCGGTGCCGCGGTGGGCAAGTGACGCAACCGGTGTTGCGGCTTAACACCGGTATCACCGTCAACACCGTCTATCGCGGCAAGCCTACTGTCTATATCGTTAATGTTAATCAAAAAAGAAAAGAGAAAGAGAAAATCACTCACTGCTCTTGATGGTATCATTTTTTGTAGCTTTTAAAGAAATTAGTGTAGTCCTTAATAAGCTTGACGACTTTTTACTTTTATTAGTTATGCTAGTAGGGACTACTGTTTTTACTTTTCAGTAACTTGCAAAACTGTCTTTAAACCCAACATGAAAAACAATCGTGATAAGGTCATAGATTAAGATATGATATTTTCGCCATATCGCCCACCCCTGGTTCTTGTCATTCGCTGCATTTCCTTAGTTTAACGGACTTCTGCTTAACTATGTAGGCCACATTGCACAAAACCCACAAACCCCTAATATGTTTCCACGCACATACATGCTCTTTAATCAGCATGTTCTGGTAAGACGACATGTGCGGCAACTTTCAAAATGAGTCAAAACGTGCAGAAAGGAGCTGGGGTCTATCTCGACATGAATGCAGCATTACGGTGTGGTAAAGCTGAAAAGTGTTACTAAGTAAAGCTTTCATGTGGTTAGAACCTATATAGATTGACTCCAAGCTTAACTTCCATAGTCTTGTAAGCAACAAGCTATAGTATAAAAAAAAAATAGTTGTTAGCAAACACATTCATGCAGAAGAACTACATCCCTCAAAATATTTGACATGATTTATTTTACATCAGACAGAGCAACATGGAATTCTAAACTATACAAAACTTTGCAGTCCTTTAGTGCCTATATAAAAAGGGTGAATTTCAGATGATTCAAGGGGAAGATCAATGCCAGAACAGAACACTTCCAGAAAGAGATTTCTTAAATAAATAAAAGAGTTGAATAACAATATACATACAGAACACACTTACTCACTTATATTATGATCTTCAAATTATTTTTGACTCCTCTCAAAGCTTTACAACGGTTCTGTTATTTCTGTTACCAAAGGGAAAAAACTGAAAAACTGAACAGTTTGGTTTGTACCATTATTATATTCATAACTTTAATCATTCAACTTGTTGTTCCTCAAAACTTAATGGACTTTAGTCTGTGACATATATGCAAGGGAAAACACTTCATGAAGTGAGTAAGTCTTCTCATCCACTGAAATGTTTCAATAGCAACTTATACTAATTTTACAGTTCTAAATGCTCATTTTGTGAGGTCTTTAACGTATTGGAGGCCTTGTTTGGTGTAGTCACTAACTGTGGATGGGGCGACTGATAGGGCATGGATAGACTTCTGGACCCCTGAGTGAAAAAATGGAGCGATCACAAGACTACATTATATTCATATTATATACATATTAAATTTACATTATGTGTGTGGTAAAAACTGATTATATACTAACATCTTCCACCAAATACACTATCATTTACCTGAGTTCCATGCATCCAGTGGTGAGAACTCAATTTTGGGCGTGGCAGGAAGCTAAAATATATCATTAAAAAAAAAAACATTAAAATAAAGTGACTTGAAACAACATTGAATAATACCACACAGACAGCACCATAAGAAGTATCTGGTCAGCATTACACATCAGTTACAAAACTACACATATACTACCATTCAAAAGTGTGAGGTCAGTAAAAAAAATGTTTAATGTTTTAAAAGCTTATGCTCACCAAGGCTGCATTTACAGTAAAACAGAATTATTGTAAAATACTGTGAAATATTATTACAATTGAACTGTTTTCTATTTGAATATATTCTAAAATGTAATTTATTCCTGTGATGCAAAGCTGCATTTTCAGCATCCAGTCTTCAGTCTCACATGATTCTTCAGAAGTTGATTTGCTGCTCAAAAAAATAATTTTTCTGCTTCATATTTTTCTGAAAACCATTATATATATTTTCCAAGATTCTCTGGTAAATAGAAAGTCCAAAAGCATTTTGAAACCGAAATCTTTTGTAACATTATAAATGCTTTTACTGTCACTTTTGATTAATTTAATGCAACCTCGCTGAATAAAAGTATTAATTTCTCAAATAAATAAATAAACTTTCTTGGCACAAGCTTTTGAAAGCTAGTGTATTCTTATACCTGCTGTCACACCTTTGTAAATAAATATCAGGTAAGTTCTCATTGATGACTTCAGTGCTGTCATCTATCTTACTTTAAATACCCTTACACCGCATCAAAAGTCAAAGGCTCTAATTTAGGTTTCATTAATAAACTCAGTTTCAGAACTTCTCATACCTCGAAGCTGAAATACTTCATCCACTCCTCTACAGCAGGTGGGAAGGCAGCTTTAGCTCGACCCAAGGCGACAGATCCCTCTTTACCATCTCCAAGAAGTCCTGAATCATATGCAACGTATAGGGCGCCACCTGCAATGGTCACTTTTGTTGCAAACCTGAAACATACATCAACACAAATTCAGCCAAAGTCAAAAGTCACAATGAGATAAACAGTAGAGATGTTTGCAAGCTACTTGAGTTATGAAACAAACAATATTAACGTTTTAGCTTAACTAAAATTCAAAACAAAAAGCCAATATTTCATGTTTACACTCCTTATGTTCTTGCTAATAAATATACTTGTTACTAGCAGACTAGCTCTCCTTCACCTACCAATAAGATAGCTACTCGAATACATGCTATTTAATTTTATTTAATTTATAACTAATACAAATATTATAAAACTATATAAAATATAATAATGCACAAAATATGCATAACTCTCAAGCCCAAACACACTTGTAAGCTAGCTGCTAATTAGCTGCATATACAACAACGCAAAAATACTAACTTGACTACAGGCAAAATCTTGGCAGCCATGGTCCTAAAACCAAAGGTATGCTATATAGCACAAAACTGTGAAATAAAACCCTGCTTTACAGGATATTTTGCTTTATCTTGACAGCGAACTCCACTGACAAGGGCATATGCTCCAGCAGAACGAGCTGGTAGCAATAAAGTTCGTTTTGAATGCAGTAAGACTTTCACTATCCGCACGTTCGACAAAACAAACGTCTGGTAAATGTTAAATGTGGTATAAGTAATTTGTAAAATTAAACGATTTAAAAGCAGACGATTGTAAAAGTTACTTTAATAGATGTGTTGTGTTATTTATTTGATGAATGTGCCGCCATAATAATTCGCTGAACTTAATGTCAGCTGCTTTGTTTCAGTATTATTATTTAATTGTATTTATCATTAAAATATGAATTTAACGTGATATTGTGATCTAAAGTTAACAGGATAACGTTATTTCTATTAACTTAAACGACAAAAAAGTTAGTACTGGATAGTTTAGCCACGTAGTAGGCTAGTTACTGAAAATTAATCTAGCCTAACATGACTTTCGGTTTTTATTTCCTAGCCAGTCATTTTGTTCTGAATTTTAAAAACACACATACACACAAAGAAAAACAACAACTGGATTAAATAATAATAATAATAATACAAATAAAAACCGGTCTTTAATATCCCGGTTATATACAGTGTGCATTTATTGCTCACAAGATTATTTGCACCACATAAATCGTATTGTACTTTGATATGACTCCGCCTTTTGACACACATATGATCCGGTTCTGCTAGTTCGGTTATAGCAACTAATGATTTTTGACAGTTGATTGGTTCAACTGCATAGCCTACTTCTGTGCATTTTAATCTTCCAAAGATTTCCTTAAATTAATCTTTATGCCAAGTTACTGTTGCTGGGCAGCATATGCGTTGCTTTCGTTGCGGTTCGATGGAGTGCTCCATCATTTAATAAGGGTGAGTTGAATGACCTTTCTGTTTATTTACGTGTTATACAATTTAATATTCGTATAACCTGTAATACCACATAAAAGTCATGTGCAAGACCCGTGATTAGTCAAACCAGGATTTAGGAAGAATAGTTTTTTTCCCCTTCCTTTCTTCTGGCAAGATTTGTGTTGGACCTAATACTGTTAAAGGGGTCATATGATGCGATTTCAATTTTTCCTTTCTCTTTGGAGTGTTACAAGCTCTTGGTGCATAAAGAAGATCTGTAAAGTTGCAAAGACTAAAGTCTCAAATCCAAAGAGATATTCTTTATAAAAGTTAAGAGTCAGCCACACCTACCTAAAACGGCTCGTTCTAACACACCCCACATGTCTACGTCACGATGTGAGAAGATTTGCATAACGCCGCCCAAACGTTCACGCAATCCTCACGCTAGCCCCCGGCCTCTGCTCACTGTAGGCCGCCGCCAATAGACGAGTGTGTTTAAGAAAGAAACATGACCTGAACACTGTTGAACTGACAATTCATAACAGTTTTAATATGGAGTTGATTATCTCCCATTAAGATCATTGAAAATTGATTTTCTGCATTGGGCAATGTGATAGATAATCATTGATGTCCAACATTTGATAGTCATCAACATGAACTTGCATGATGATTATAAGAGTGTCCCACAGATCACCACATATTTTCTCATTTATAAATATTGAGTACTTTTGCCAAAATCCCCACCAAGAATCAGTCAAGGCTTTAATTTACCAGGCCACTATGACATTTATGCAGTTAAGGATGTGTGACAAGCAAAGGAACATCTCTGTCCTGCAGCAGTTGTACCACCTTGTTTTACCCTCAAACTAATTACTGTTACCGCAGAGCGTTTGTTGGAGTACAGAGAGGCTATTGGAGAAGTTTAATATAACTTGCTACCCACAATCAACCTGAATAATGGGAAAAGGCCATACATACAATCTTTTAACAAACTGATAAACTGTGATAAACCTAGAAAGCTTAGAAAGCTGGATTTGTCATTTAACCTTTATGGACATTAACTACACCATTATGGCATTATGAGGCATTTTATGCAATGACTGTCATTTGTCTACACTCTCGCATAGCCATGCCTTCAGATTGGCGGTAGAAGTTCTCGACTCCATAGCAGATTTCATTGCCCAAGAATCACCCATCTAAGCGACATGTAAAGCAATGCTTGTTCTGTTCAACATCATGTTTAGTGGCGTGAAAATGCAAAGTCGATTTTAAAGACACACACATCTCTCTGAAACCCTGTAGAATTCAACCAATCAAATGATGACTTAGAAACTCCCAAAGTGTGTCGCATTTTGTGTGCCTTATGCATCAGACGTTCACCCAACGGTCGGTGGGGCATGCAAATAGCATCACTGGTGATAAAGGGTTCTATTGACATTTGCTGCATCGCTCACATTCAATGTAGACATGGTGTTAAGGGCTGTTTCTATTATATTTCTATTGTTTTTCTACATTAACGTGCTAGACAGACATGTTTGACAAATGCACTCAAATTCGTGCATGATACAGCATTCTAAAAATGTGGCGCTCAACTTGAGACCTTTTTTCCCCATTTGACTGCCTGCATCTCGCATACTGGGTGAATGGCCCCATAGTCAACATCATACTATGAACTGTCTTTTTTAGAGTCCTTGAAAGGTGCCAGGGTGCTGGTGACTGGCGCCAGTACTGGCATCGGTGAGCAGTTGGCGTACCACTATGCCCGTTTAGGAGCCCAACTCGTTATCATGGCGAGGAGAGGAAATGTCCTAGAACAGGTGAGTTGGGTTTTCTTCTTTCATTCATCATTTACATGATTCACGGATATCTGATTGCTTCATTCATCTCAACTCAGGTTGTGAGTAAGTGCTTGGAAATGGGGGCTCAAAGGGCCTTGTTCATCCCTGCGGACATGGCGAGCCCCTCCGATGCTGAAAGCGTGGTGCAGTACGCCATCGAACAGCTTTGGGGTCTGGATTACCTGGTTCTGAACCACATCAGGCCCAGTCCGTACAGAATGTGGAATGGAGACGTGGAGCATACACGATGGCTGCTAGAGGTGTAGAATCACAATGAAAACAATTTGTATTGACAATAGTGACTTTGTTAGTTCCCCCAAAAATGAATGTGGACCAAAAAGGACATACTGTAAAAGCAATGTAGTTCTCAGATCTTATTCACACTTCTTTATTGTAATTTTTGGGTGAAGCATACATGTTACATTTGATGCCATATAACTAAAACATGTGATTGATTTGTCATTCATTTTATACCTTCTTATAGGTGAATTTTCTTAGTTACGCACAGATGACTCAGAAAGCTTTGCCAACTCTTGAAAAGAGTAACGGATCAATAGTTGTTGTTTCCTCTCTGCTAGGTGATTAAAATATGACACTTTTCTCACAATTGTCACTGGTTTAACAAACAAACAGATGCTGGAATAACGTCCAACTCTTTTCCACAGGAAAAATGTGTGGCCCCTTTGCTTTGCCGTATGCCGCAACAAAGTTTGCACTCAACGGTTTCTTTGGAGGCCTTCAGCATGAGCTAGCTATGCAAAAAAGCAATGTGTTCATAACCATCTGCATACTCGGCCTGATCGACACAGATAGCGCCATGGAGAAAATCAAGTAAGAACAAGCTAACATCAAGATCTTTGTTTCTCTATGCTAATAAATGCAATGCAAATTTACAGTTAAATTAAAAATGGACTCAATTTCTGCTCATGAAAAACTTTTAGACAAAGAAATTAAAAGTAATTCTGAGAAATTTGGGGAGGGCTATAAATATAAAAATATTATTTTTTAATACCTCAAGTGTAAGATGAAACACCATTGAAAAGGAATCAAACAACAGATAACGAAGCGGCAGAAATTAATAAGCAAACTTCATGTCTCCAGGCCAGTAGATGGCAGTATAATGTCCAAAATAAAAAAGAAAATATATACAAAGAAAAGAAAGTGAAACATGAACAAAAAAGTTCAAATTTAACAATGTTTAATACGGTAGAGTTTAAGTTTTGCCTAGTGGTGCTAGCTCAGTACTACTCACAAACAAACTGGCAGACAAAGTCTAATTTGTGGTCATATATAACCCTTATGCAACTCAAACATGATCACACATTACCACTTGAGTTACTGATAAAAGGCTAATTCTTCATATCTCTGATGTGTTTAATGCAGAGGTTACATCAATATGACCGCCTACCCTGCACTCGAAGCCGCCTGGCACATTATCGAAGCTGGAGCGTCTCGACAGTCTGAGACCTTTTACCCTTGTACACCTTCTACGCCTGTCTCTTCAGGGATTGGTTCCCCTACTTCAGGGATCAGGCGATTCAGAACTCCTACACATATAATCCACAAGTTAATAAGGAACCAGTTACTGGAAGCTGACAGTTTCATCGAAATCTATGTGTGGAACAGCATTAGCCGTTAACGCATGTGCTTTGACACACCAAGCCCTGGTGCTCATGAGGGTGTTGAGTTCTTCTCCCTGTTGTTAAAAACCAAAAATAAAGCTTTATAATGAAATAACATTTAACCTGCTGAGAAATATTATATGATTAACTAATGATTGCTATCAGGATGTAAAGAGACTTTCAACCAGCACAACAAAAACAATGTTTCTGAAGACAATCACCTATTGGTGATTTGTAGTACATCATCAAGAACATATTGCTGCTGTAAATATTAAAAGAGTTTAAACATTGTGTATTTTGTCTGTTCACAAACTTTATGCACATTTTGGCAGAAGCTGTTTGTAAAGTCTGTTAAAAACATATGCATGTAATCAGGACGTGAAACGGAAAATGTTTTGTCTGTGTAGACTAAACTACTTCACTTATGTAAAGCACTCTGAACTTACATCATATTTTCTTATCAGTTACACACATTATCGATGTATCAGATATCGATCTGAGGCGAATATTTTGTATAGACACGACAATAAAGACGTTCCACTAAAAGCTTGCCGCCTGAGTTTTACTGCTGATAAAATATAACATTCAGAGCATACGACATTAGATAATGAGAAGTTTCAAGACATTTATGGTGTTTTAGACAAAGATTGCATCCATAAAGGCACACGTTGTCTGCGTTGTAGTAGGCCCTACCCGCAGATTATGCAAATCAGGTAATACCGCGAACACAAAATCTGCTTTGATTTACATACTACT